CACACACCTGGACTCAGTCTAGCTCTGCCCAATCAGGAGGTCAGAGGTCACAGAGCTCTGCGTCCAGATAAAGAAAGGGTGGGGGATTTCTCCCTGGAGATCAATAAGGTAATAAAGTATATTCGTATTAGTGGAGATTTACCTTCAGAGTCCTGCTGGGGGCTTCAGGGGCGATAAAACAACATTAATCCAACAATAAAAACACTTCTCCTCTACAGCAGAAAGCCAGAACTAAAGCTGAGAGCTCCCACTGCCCTATTTCAGACCCAAAAATGTCATCTATGGTGTTCTGGGGCTCTAAACTCTTTAAATACAGCATCTTCACATATTTCTGCTTTGTTTAGTTATTTAAAGTTGCTAAAATAAAGAGATATTTTCCATTAAATCCACTGGAATCAGTGTTATTTTTCATATCAGTGGTTTAACTGTGACTTTGGTCAGCCCACTAATCTGAGGCCATTTCTGTCAGAGTTGTCTGTTTTTGGGGTTAAAGGTTTAAAAGTTTTCCAGTTTCCGGTTTGCTGGGGTTTCCTCCTCACTAAGTCGGGGTTCCTCAGGGTTCTGTGCTGGTTTCCCTTTAGAACCGTTTCCATTAGACACTGGTTCTGGTTCTGATGGGCTTTCCCTGGTTAAAAGGGAGGTGTTCTCCCCACAGTCTCCCTGGGGGTGGAGACGATATGATGCTATCTGTGGGAATTCTGAGGTTTAACTGGCTATTTATGCACAGACTTACTATTATGATTAGGACTGAAGGAGTTGGACTGTATGTGAAGCAACAGAAATAATTTCTGTTGGCATTTAACGTTAAAATTTAACTGAATACTTCATGGACAGACTTGTATTGGATTATGATTGTGACTGAAGGAATTTGACTTCTTTTGAACTCTAATTCAACTGAATATATCTTTTGTGTTCTTTCCATTTTACTGCATCCTGTTTTTTATTTCTCCATTCAGCACTTCTCCTGAACTAAACTAAACCTGCTTTGGGTCTGGCCTCTACTCTGAGGTGGCTCCATCCATCCGGCTCCTAATGGGACGGTCTGGGTCTCTGTAGAAAACCCCGACATGCTCATCTGACAGATTTATGGCTCAATTTAACACCTGGACACCCCCTGCCTCTGTAATAACAGAGCAGATTCATCACTTTCTGCCTCACGGACCCCGGGG